AAAAATAAAAAAAATTTCAGGTGGAGGAAAAAAAAAAAAAAAAAAAAAAAAAAAGCACCCACCAGGGGAGATGGACATGCCACAATCCCTTCTCCGTCATCCTCTTCTCAGGATTTTGGGCACGTACACACACATGCCTGGTGTTTTTTGTTACTAGGGCTTGGATAAGGAGCCATGGTTGGCCATGTGGAATCTAGCTCCTGTAACCACCAGGCCACAAGACCAGTTTCAAAGGAGAATTCTTGAATGGACTCTTGAAGTATTAAGAGGAGTCTTCCAGGTAAGCAAGACGAGGTGGCAGCAAGGGCATTTATGGGCAAGAAAAAAAAGCATGAGCCAAGACCCAAGGTTGCGGTGCAAAGAACTCAAGTGATTGGGGCAGACGGGCATTTAGAGAAAGATGAAGCAGGAGAGAAAGACCATAGCCTTATTGTGAAGGGCTATGCCAAGGGGCTTGGAGTCCCATCCCCCCACTGTAGGGAACAGGGCTCTGCTGGAGGGCAGAGACACTGGGTGGCCAGTTCTGTCAGTTACATAGGGTTTTGGTAGCAGGCAGACAAGAAAGCTAGTCAGAATCACCTCTTACAAGGGTTCCTCACTGGAAGAATGCAGGTCAGAAATCCACTCAGAACACCCACCCTCCAGCTATTCCAGGTGATAGACAATGTGGTTGACCTGCTGGTGGCAGGGGAGGGGTGGACCATGCAGGTACTTTATTCACTATAGCATGGGAAGAGCTACCAGTAGGCATTACACTGCACATGGTGGAATGACTCCAGAGGAAATCTATTGGCAGTTGGGGGCTTTATTGTCGAAGAAACTTTTACTGTTTACTAGGGAAGAACCAGTGTGCAGGAGCCAGTTCTGCTATTTCTTGGAAATAATGGAAGAAAGAGGCTTTTGAGAAAATTAGAACTCAAGAATCAGGTTATTTGCAATGGTATTAAATGTCCTAAAAGTGTCAATGAAATGACTGAATGGATAAAAAGGATTAGTAGAATCAAGATCATGAAATCCTAGATGGAAACAGATGAAAGACAAGGCTTGGGAATACTGAGACTGAACACCATCAAGGCCCAAGTCGTTTGTCAGGCACCTAGGCCTGCTTTTGACCTCAGCACTAATTTGTTGGCTTATCTCAGCAAATGCTCTGTGAACACCTCATCCCACAGCTACCACCGTTTTCTGATACCATGGGCTCAGTGGCTGGTACCAGGTAATAAGGACTATACCCATGAAGGCTCTGTTGGCCTTGAGTACTGAGCTTTCTGCTTGAGTTCAATGCCCCCTCAGTCCCATCCTTTTTGGCTTGACCTTGGCTTGCTCTATACTCTTCATCCCACGGCTCAACTCTGACTTTCTTCTGCATTCATTTTTCATCCTTGAGCCTTAGCTTAGTGGCTAAGGTAGACATATCCCAAATGGTCAATCAAACAGTCCAAATCCTGGCCCTGGTGGCTTGTGTGTGTGTGTACCCAAAATCCCAACAGGATGGAGAAATGGAGTTGAAGCATGAGCATGGCCCAAGGGGGATGCATTCTCCCTACCCACCCCTCTGGCGAGTGCATGCACCCTCTGACAAAAAGATAATGTGCCCTGCAAACCACAAGGCACTGCAAAAAAGTATGGTTCGCTCTCCTTGGTGTGTTGGGAGAGTTGCTCACCCATTGCCATTGCTCCAGACCTGAACGAGGGCAGCACTCACTCAGCTTCTCCACATGAGTGCAGAGGCTCAGCCATGTCATAAGAGCCTGCCCTAAGCACTGACCCTCTTAGGGGGTTGCAGTGTTAGTGTGTTAGTGCTGCCCTGTTCTGCAGAGTGGTCCATTTCTGGGAGTGCTGGAAACTGGGAAGCCAGTCTCTCTCAACATCACTCTCATTTAGCTCTCCACTGCCATGTTGGCCCTCATTTCCTATAAGAGACATATCTGCTGTAGTTGTCATCTGCTGCCTGTAGACCTTTGGAAAAAGGTTGTACTTCACCAACAAGGATGTGGACCCATGTGACATTGATGTTGAGGAAGTGCCTTGGGGCTGGGACGGAAGACCATGGAACAGACTTTCACAAAAGACCTGTCACCTAGACCCATCCCAAGAATCACCAGGCTCAGTCAGCTGATATCACTACAAAGAAAGCCTTTTAACCCCCCAAAAAAGGTTTGGGATGTTCTTCCTACTGCTGTGCCCCCACCTTCCCTTCTCAACTACTTCAAAAAGATCTCTGAGCCACAGTTCATTGCAACTATCGTTTATTAAAAAATATATGTCTCCTTGGAAGGAACACTGGTAAACCAACTAGTGTCATGCTTACTTTGAATCTTCGCTTTTCCTCCCTGGGAGCATGGAGGATGAGCACCGTCTAGACCATTGCTTATTTAACATCAGAGAATCCGTGCCCCCTGCTCACCACCCCCCTACCAGTCACAATCGGCTATCACTGTATCCCCTTTTGCCTTTGATCCAGTGTACTGCCCAGGGAAAGCTGCTGCCCTTTCTTTACCCTCATTCTGGGCCCCACACTTCGTAGTTAGCCTCAGTGTGCTGGTAGGCTAACTATTAACACAGTTCCTGAATGTGGCTGGTAGTGCTTAAAGCATTATCAACATTGCAGTAGCATTGTCTGCACTTGCCCTCACAAAGGGGGCCAGGGAACAACAGCCTCAAGCCTAGGGCCAAGTACTTCTCTGTTCTCTCCTGCGTCATCCCTCCAGCATGGAGGTGAGGGAGGCACATTGGCTTCAAGGAGCACAGTGGGGTGGGATAGGGCCTGGACCACACCTGCTGCATTTGTGGCAGGAGAAAGTCTCCTTGGACCACAGTCACTGCCATCAGACTCTGGGAAAAAGCAATGAGATTTCACATCTCACCAGTAAGTGAACTTTAGCTCTACAGTTCAAATTTACAGCGGTAAAGTCTACTCTTGTCTTGAAGAAACATTAAGCTACCTGCTGTTGGTGAGGGGGCGGGGGGCGGGCTTATGGAGCAGCTGCAAAAAAACCAAATCAAACTCATTACGTGGTCGGCCAAGCCTCGTGCTGTTCCACTGTCTGGGCACAGAACTGGCAGGCAAGTGAATCCCTGTCCCTGTTGGCGGGCCCTGTGAAGGAGCCGTGGCTAAACCCAGGATGTCCTTGGCAGGTGAAGACATGAGAAAGGACAGCACGGCCACCCAGAGCCTAGCTCCTCCTCCTCCCCCTCCCTGGTGCCCACTTTCCCTTCTGCCGACTGGACCGCCAAGCCTGGGTCACCTTCATGTCACAAGGCCTGGCTCCTTCAGTCTCCTAGGCCTGCAGAACATTGGCAAATTGGATTCTACGCATTCACTTAAATAGTAAAAGTAAAATCTGGAATAATGAAAAGGCTGACACAGTAGCACAACATGGTTTTGGTTTAACAGCAGCTTAAAAATGAACAAAAAGGAAACCTCTCATGCAGACACATCAGGTGGCATAAAACAATAGGCAATTTCACATGGAGCATCATTAGCCATTCTCTCTTTCCACACAGGACTGACTACACCTTGTGGGCAGCAGCAGCTGCTTCCAGGTCGAGTCTCCAACCCACTCACCTCAGGTAAAAACCCTTCCTCTCAGGCTGCAGGCTGACCCCTCTGAGAAAACCTTAGCTCTCAAGAGAATGACCAAAGGCAAGTACAGCACTTACTACCATTTTCAATCCCTTCCCAACTAGTTGGGATATAAGATGCCATCTGATTGGAATATGAAAATTAAAGCATTTCTCTAATAACATCGTACCATTGATGAAGTCCCATACGCTACACCATTCAGAGCTGCAAGGCAGCAAGACAGACAGGTAGAAATGCCCAGGCGCATCTCCTCCAGCGGTGCATTTAGCTCACTCCACAAGCCGTGCAGCTGTCCAGAGTCTGTCTTTCCGTCAGTCCTCCTCTCTTCTCCTCGCTTCTGCTTGGTTGTTATGAAAACAATGGCTCTGATGAGTTTGCACCTGTGCTAGCTCTTGGGAAAGGTCCATGCAGGAATGGGCACAGTCACATGATGAGTGAGATGGCATCATCCCAAAAATAAACTAAAACAAAACAAAAATTTTAAAAAAAAAGAAAAAAAGAACAGGACTAGAAAACTCAATTTTTTTGACATATCTAAAAAAGGGGACAAGAACAGTAGTCATTTGTTCTCCCCATGGGGACAGGAATGAAGAGGGAGGAGGGAAGAGGGACTTGATTTCTTCTGTTCACAAGAGAATGGTTGTAGGGGATTCTTCAGAGTTTTTCAGGGGATGGGACCCAAATGTAGTGCCCAGACTGGTCCTCAATGATCTGTTTGATTTTATTATAATGCTCTTCCAGCGAGTCACCCTGTACAATGGCTAAAGTGAAGAGGAAAACAAAATTATTACTATGGTCCACAGCACACTCCCAAACCCGGCAACAATCCTGCCTCTTCCAATAATCTTACAATGTGCCCCAGACTCCTGGTCCTGTTCACAGAAGTGTAAGGTCAGCTGTCTGTGAGTTCAGGGTAGTAGGGGGAACTAGGCACCCTAAGTCTAGGGCTTGAAGTCAACTGGCTGAAATAGTGAGACTAATTTGCAATGAGCACGAAAATATGTTTATTCAAAAGGTGTTTCTTGAACAGCCACTGTAGGTCAGACCTGCGTAGGTGGCTCTTGGCCACCATGAGACCACCAACTTGTAATTCTAACGCAGTGGTACTGAAAAATCTGGAAACTCCATTATCCAGAGAAAGAACCGAGAGCCATAAGTTCTGGCAAGAGACAGTGCTCCTGTGGCTGTCACATCTGTTTGATGTCAGAGGTCAGCCTAGCAGAAAAAGACACAGATGCTAACAGTAAAAGGAGCTCTGAAGACCTAAGATATGCAAGGATATTCTTTATCCAGTTAACCTAGTGGCACTACTAGCTGGAAATTACTCAGCATCACCCTGCACATACATGTGTCAGGGTACTTTAAAAGGTGAGGAACCTCCCCAACTTTTTAGGAGCTGACCTTCTAAAGTAGGCAGACCATATAAACACACACACACAAGTGGACAACTCAAACATCGCACCAAGGAATTATTGTCATCAGAAAATATTTATTCAGGACCTAAAACTTGCAAGGCAATGTATTGGGGGAGAGGGGCTGAGAAGAAGGGAAACTAATATAGGAAGCCAACCTTCTAGTAAGGGATGAGAAGACAAAATGAACAAGGCAAAATTCCAAGGCAGTTATTTGGTGGGAAGTTTTTACTATAAACTAGTTAAATTGTTATGTCTGGACAGAGGGAATTTGAATCTTTGGAAAGGTTTCAGCTCAAAAGTACCCAGAAAGTCCATGCAGAGTTTCTAAATTCTGTCTAAACCTCTTTGTGACACAGAGGTAGGTACCTGGCTGGTCCTATAGTACCCCTAGTTGGGTAGCCAGGATTCTTACCGGTAAAGTATTCTCCAAACTCCTGCTCCAGTTTCATGGCTTTGTCATAGATCTTATTTGCTTGTTCATATGTCTGCCGTCGGTTCATTTCCCTGTCAGACACACAGAAAAAAATAGGTCCAGACTAGATCCTATGTTTTGATTAACATAATAAAAGATTGTCCCAGGATTTCTGAAAATCTGCTAAGCTATCCTCTCAGAGTAGCAGTGACTCACACTAACTCAGCCCTCAAACCATCTAGGCTAAAAAGCCCAACCAGGGGCCCATAACAAAGGTGCTTGAAACAAAACAAAAGGAATAGCCCAGCGGTGAACAGGAGGGAGGGAGTCAGGGAGGGAAGGATCAACTGTGGAAGGCTGGGGCCACATGGGAGGCTTGCGTTTGGTTCCTGGATCAACCTAAATAGGTCAGATGCAGTGGCATGCACATGTGCCTATAATCCTAGCTAACTAGGAGGTCAGAGCAGGAGGATCTCTGCGTGGGTGAGACCCTGTCAAAAATGCCCCTCTCTCTTTTATATAACAAACACTAGGAATACCTAGTGACCAGAACTGGGACACAGAGCCTTTTTTCAACCTTTCACTGAGTCCTACCTGTGCCCCCAAAATTACTTTATTCCCAGTTTCCTTTCCTGGTCTCCATCCTAGCTGGGTGTGTCTAAGTCTAAGCAAACACTTACATAAGGGCTTCAATGGACTTGGGCTTGATGAAAATGGCAATGGGGTAAAGTTGTGCTTGCTGCAGTCTCTTGATGGCATTTCCGGAAACATCTAAGATGCAGTGTTTGCCCTGAAAAAGCAGACGTGTGTCAGCCCTTCCATCCCCTGTCCACCCAACCCAAACTGAAATCCAATGGCACTCCAAACTTCCACCTGGGAGAACCTAGGGCCACCCAGGGTAGCCTAGATGATACTATTCCTGAAGTACCCAGACCCTCTTTTTGCTCCTATTATCTAGGGTAAAAAATGCCCATATCTGCCTAAGGTTCTCCCCGGTGGGTGCCACTCCAGGGTAAGTCACATGAAAGACAGACACCCTCCTAGAGGGGCTGAGAACATGCAGAACTGCCATGGCTTGGATTAGCAGTACCACTGAATAAGCAGGATGTGCTGGAAGGATGAGGAGCCAAGTAGAACCTCAGCATGACTGTTTCTGCCTTGGTCGGCTGGGCGGTCTCCTCTGCTTACCCTCTCTGCAACTGCCCGCACTGACTGGATGCTGGTACCATAGAGATTATCATTGAACTGGCCAGCCTCGATGAACTTGTTGTCCTGAATGTCCTTCTCCATTTGTTCTCGGGACACCACAAAGTGGTAGTCTTGTCCATCTACCTCATTATCTCGCCGAGGCCGAGTAGTATCTAAAGGAAAAAAAGGAAGTCTGTGCAGCCCAAGGGCAATGATATGCCCCGAGCCCAAAAGGCTGACTTGGTCCTCTTTCAGCCAGGTGAGTTATAGTTTTTTTCAGATGAGTGGAGGGAATTAAGCAGTTGGGAAGAAATTTCTCGCCTACTTCTCTTCCAACCTCTAGGTCTCACATAAACGGGCCTACCTGCTTTAGCTTAAATTGGACTAGAAAGGTGGGACTGCCTGGGCCAAGGCCTGGCAGAAGATGCCAAATCAGAAACAGAGTCAGTGAACCTCACCTATCATTCAAGTCACTTTGATACCACTTTGACAGGGCCTCCTCATCTGTCCAATCATTCCTGACCATTGCTATTCAAACTTCCAACCAAAGAAACATGTACCTAATGTCCTCTCAGCCCTATCAACTTTGGGGGAACTTAGTACTACCTACTCTCCTCCAAGGTGTCAAATGTACTCTGCTCCCAAATAGCCCCAGAATTTTATCCCAGATCCTTTCTATAAAATTTCGGCATAATTCCAAGGGCACCAGGCCTCACTCCTTTAGGCCTTCCTGGCTCTTACGTGGCACACAGGATCCAAATTTATGCGGGAACTCGGAGATCAGGTCATCATTGACACGGTCCTTCATTGGGCCCAGGATGATCACAGGCCTTGCATAGTGAACTGGAGAGGGAGTGCATTGAGACAATGAGTAGAGGCCCCACAGCCAGCCTGTCCTGCCTTAAGTCTAGCTAGAACCTGGTGGCTCTGGAGCAGTGCATCAGACAAAGTAAGATGCCCACAGCCATTTTCTGGCTTTTAACTATAAAGATATCAAAGAGTTCTTAATTTGAAAATACGTAAGTCTAAGGCAAAGCTGAAACCAGAAGTATCTCCCCTTCAAAGGACTTGGGTAAAATCTCTGCATTGACACCAGCAGCTGGGCAAAGTTTCTGCATAGCAACCCCTAAAGGGAGGGACAGGGACATGCCTTTCAGCAGTGGCCACCCCACTGCAACAGAGCTTCCTTGGCCTGCCTTGTAAATGTGCCCTCTCTTCTGAAAGATGTCTGGCAGCAGACAAATACAGTGAGAGGTACCCACTGGATGGCTATCCACACCCCCTATGACATTAGGAAGAAGTAGAGGAACAGGAAGAGCCTGGAGACTGGAAATACAATGAGTCAGGCCTTCTTTCTCACCCCCGCCCTCTCTCCCTCTGCCACCACAGCTAACCACTGCACTCGCCCCATGGCCAGAAGACCAGCACAAAGGCAAGATCTCAGGAGGCAGCTTACTTTCTTGCCGTGTCACTGGTTCATATGACAAAATAGCATCCTCTTGTCCTTCTGTAATGAAAAGGGAGATAGGTTAGCACTTCATGACCCACGTTCCCATACACAACATTTACCACACCCCACCTCTGTTGGAAAACACCATATTAAGTAGTACTAGCTATCACCTGCCCTGTGGGTCTCTTCTGCTTTCCACTGGCAGGTATGCATAGACAGCCCTTTATTGGACCTGGTGCAAGAGTCAGCAGTTTTCTCATTCAGTAGAGTATCACTGAGCAAATGGCAATGCTCAGAAGTCAGCAAGAGTTCATCAAAAACCACCCCAATTTCTCAGGAGCTGTTTGTTCTTATATAAGATGATCGCCATTTATGTTCAGTGGCCTCTTGCTCTGGTAGGGATCACAGGAATACTGAAACTGGTTGAGACCCACATGCCCAAGTCCCATAACTGCAGGCAGGAGAGTCAGGGTACTCATACAGGTCCCTAAAGCTATAGCCTATCTACACTCTTCTAATGGTCTAACGATGATCCCCACCCCAGCAGTCACTGGAAGAAGTACCCATAAAAGTGGCTCAGGGCTGGAATAAGGTCCCTAGAGCCCTTTAGGAATAATGCTAAACCTACTCTTCTCATGATGGAGCTCCATGTAGCCTAGCAATGAGGAGGTGTTCCTTAAACAGTCACCAAGCTACTTAGAGCTGGGCACCTAAAGGTTCTTAAGTGGCTGCCAGCAGTCCCAGCAAAGGCAGCAGATCTGCAGTGAGCCACAGGGTCTTGCTAAAAGGGTTCGCCTGAGCCTGAGACTCCTGAGCAGATTACAAAGGGCCTGTAATTACAGACAAATTGCAAAGCCCCTGTGGCTCCTGAAATGCGGATACTCCCATAATTCCTGACGTATGAGTTGTGGCATCTGTGGTCTGGTTCACAGGATCTCCAGAGAAAAACAATTACCTGATATCTAACCCAGGCAAAAGGCAAGGGGGTCCTGGTGACCTGGAAGGGCAGATTCAGGACAAAATACCACAGGAGTCATGTCTCTTTTGGTCTCTGAGCAAATGTGTAAACCTGGCAGCACCTCTAGTCCACATGTGCCCATGGTACTTCCGGAGCCCAGGGATGCTTTGTGGGCAGGTCCTGGCCAGAACCTACAGGGCTTATACTCTCCTTTGATCCATGAGGCAAACCTCTCCCAATAAGGAAAGTGAACTGGCCACAGCATTTCCAGGATCTCAAAGTGAACATGGCTAAAAGAAGCACCAGCCTCTGAGCAGAATGGTAGCCATGCGACACTGGGATGAGGATGGCTGGGACACACAGTGGAGCTACACGACTTTGGGGGAATGACACACACTTACTGGAACTGCTTTCGCTGTCACTGGTGTTGGATGTCACTCCCTCTGCAAGCCAACAAGAAAGAGACTCCAATTCAGAACCACACCACTGAGAAGTCACATGCAGCGCAAAACTGAAACGCTCCAGGAGCAAGACGCTGAACTGTCAACTGACTATGGGAGGCCTTCCACATCCAGGCTACCAACTGTGAAGTACAGCTCCAATCTTGGGCCCCTGGCCACCTCCTACTTGTCCCCAGAATCCTCCTGCTCTGCCAAGTCCCTCCCTATGCACTACAAGCCTGTTTCAGCAGCATTCTCTTCTTCTGAATCAAATGCATTGACTTGGACAGTTTTCAAATCCTATCTCACAATACATCTCCCAAAGCTAATGACAGGAAAGAAAAGGAAGTGACAGGAGCAAAGAGAAGTCCAGGGATCAGGCTGTTGTGATTCCACCCCAGAGCCCCCAAAGTACAGAACCATGTGGGGCTCCAGAGCTAAGAGGCTAAGTGTGAAGTAAGCTGAGCAGCCACTGGGGGAGCTGCTCTGACCATGGAGTGGGACCCATGGGGCTCAGCAGCCCTTCCTGAGGAGTAAGGCTGGGCCTCAGCACTGTGGGGTGCACCTCCATCCACCCTGAAACAGACACATCATAACATGGAGACAATCAA